AACCAGCTTCCTATTCAATTACAGTTATAACAGAGATCAATATCGCGTATTTGAACAATATACCTATTCTAATATTAATTATTACTAATTAGCAATTAAGTCCGCAACAGCGTCGTAAGATTAAAAACATTCCAGACGTGATAGAAATAAATAATTACATTCTCACAGAGAGAGATGACAGAACTGTTAAATTCCTTTCATTTCCTTAGAACAGTCCGACGTGAAAATGCTCCGCAGAACGTTTTCTACGAAGCAACAACGACAGAATAGCTATTAAAGACAATTCATTCGGCCTTCCAACTCACGCCGTCGTCCCTGTTGCCTCGTTAACTTCCATTCTTCGTTCAATGCACAGCCTCCCTCTGTGTCTGATGGACATTTAGTACCATGTAATTACGCGAAACGCGCGACAACGCTACGTTACGTAAATACGTTTCCACCACCAGATGAGATGACGCGTGCAACGCGAGAGCAACTTATCGAAGTTACGCGAAGCAATAAATCTGGAATCGAACCTTTCATGGGGATTAATCTTCTACATCTACCTCTGAGTTTCTCAAGTAAGAGGTGGGAAATCTCGCCCACCTTCGCCGATAACGAGTCATTCCGCTCTTATCACTCGAAATAAGCTCGAATAAAGCTCGAAGAACTTCCTAGACGATTTCTTATTTGATGTTGAATCCTCTTCGTGGAAATTTGTTTTGCTCCAGGATATACGCGTCGGTGTCAAAGCCCAAGGATGCAACCACGAGACTTTCCTCCGGACTTAATTAAATACTTCGGATACCAACTATCGTCGCAAACATTTCTAGCGAGTCGGTCATATTGGGAACGGTGCGTTTGAATTCCGCCTTCGTCTTATCTTTTTCTTTCTTCTGTCCCAATTACCCTTTTTCAAAAAATTTATATTTTATGCAAAACGACCGATTGAATCCCGCCGATTATTATACTTCCAGTTTCTATTTATCCATAACAATCCAGGAACTCGAAGATATACTATTTATTAAGATGGATAGATAACAGACAGAAATGTATGTGGCTAAAAATTATGAATCGTACATATTTGTATATATTGTAGGTTGCTATAAAGTATCGCGTATACCACACGTAAAAGAATGTAGACTTCTCATAAAGCCGACAACATTCCTCCTATATCCAATATCCGCGCAAACGGAAATTGTATTTGCTAATTTTATAACGCGCAACGATTTTTATAACGTGCTTTTTCGAATTTAATATTCGTTACATTTTTAATAATGTTGCAACTCGATTATTAAGATTTCTTATTATTATTTTGTAATGTATTAATAATCACAGAGTTGAAAAGTTATACTTTTGAAAAGTAACTCGATATTATTGCTCGTTATTCATTGTAAAAAAGTAACTCATTATTATAACTCATTATCAATCAGAAAAAATAATTTATTAGCATTATTCAAAAACTTACTGGTTACTGAGTTGTTACAATTTCTGTTATATATTTTTTCGTCGAATTTAATCTTTCTTTATTCAACATAAGATTCATAATAGTTATGAATAATCATAACATAATCTAACGTAACACTCCTTTTTTTTTTGAAAACTTTTTTTGAACTTTTTCGCATATTCCATACATATGTGTTATACGTGTATAAAATAACGGTAAAAGTAATGGTTATATTCGATATCGCTACTCAAAAAAATGTAACTCCGATAGCTCCGGAGTTTTTATTGGTAACAGTATTAACTATTTATTAAAATTTAGTAATGAAACTAATTTTTTCTTAATAACAACTCTATTAGTGTCAATAATGAATATATGAATGTTTGTTATTAAAAAGAATAACTCTACACAATAAAATAATTGTATTAAAACCAGTCCACTCAAGTCCTTGAAATTTTGTGTTAAATGTTTGAATATACATATCGTATTGAATACATAATTTAAATAGATATATTAGAATGTTAATTTAACATAATGTGATTTTATGTTATTTGAATATTTTGAATTAGATTAACATTCAACAATTATTAGTATTCAAATAATGTAATTTATGAGTAAGTAAATTAATATAAAATATTTTATTTTAAAATGTAAATTCTAAGATAAATAAATAAAATACATTAATTTAGCATATCATAAATGAATTTTACTGAAAAAATATGCTTCCACAATATGCTTACAAATTATGTCAGTGTTACATTTTTTGTATTAATTTTTTTGTATAATATTTATGTTACTTTTAACATATTAATCTTATGTTAAATTAATTGTTGACAACAATTTGAGTAGACCGTTTGGGACATGTGAGATGTATTGAATTTAAATGTTCCAACGATATTACGGTAATGACATTGTAAGTAACGCGTTACTTCCCAACCTTGTTATAATACTTGATATGCAGAATGGATGAAAATATATATACCTATGTAATTCTCATTCCTGAGACACAGACCACAACGCGATTTGTCTTTAATAGTATTGATTAGATTGAATCTCACGTTGTGACATTTATATCGATTGTTAAGCAAAATCTGTCAGAGAACATTCGCGGTAATTGTTAGTAAATGGGCTAATTCAAACTATTAAAGCATTCATTTATAGAGCATTTTCATTTGAAAGCAAGTTCAGCGAATCGAGTTATAAATGTAATTGGTCGAAATCTTGTTGCAAAAAGATATATTGTAAATATACCTTTGTTACCTTTATTTTCTCATAGAATAGATATAACAGATTTCTCTTTCATCAATGCAATTTTTAATCATTTCATTTAACAAATAGTATATCATGAGCAAATTTTTAGTTATAATAAAATTACCTAATATATGATTTTTAACGTGATAATGAAATAGAGAATAATACCGAGTGCTTTGATAGTATAATATAAAAATATATAGCGAAATGTTTTTGTATACTTCAAATGAAATATTAATGCAAAAATATTAAAATTAGTCCAAATATAAGTTCATCAAATAATACAAAATAAACTCATAAAAACAATTTTTATTTAAAAAATATACTTATTTTTATTCTATATAATTCGCTATATTTTTAAAAACATATTTTATCAGTGCTAGCGTGCATTGATAAAAGTGCACTCAAAAAATTAAATATGTTGCATTAAGCCAAGTCGCATTAAGCCAAGCAAAAAAAATTCGAATTGAATAGAATTATTTATAAATACGTTATGTGACTTATTTTAGCGTTATTTGTTTTTTCACAAAAAGTACTTCTCAACTGCAACTTTATCTAAATTTACATTTGGAGTTGCTGATAAAAATTACACTTTGTCCACACCGATCAAATGTTTCTTGAGAAGACACTGTCACGCATTGAGAGAAGTTCGAAGGACTACTGTTCTCCCCCTATTGAACTGTTCTATTCTGAACTACGATATACGAAACGTTTCATTTGAGATGCAACGGTAGAAGGTCGAAATTACCAGGGGCAATTATTCGCTGCGAATGCACAGCTATATAAACCTGCCAGGGCTTGTAATTGTCAATTAGACCGACCGTCAAGATTTTATCGATTCCTCAATAATCCTCGTATTTGGTAGTTGCTAGTGAAACGTGGTTGAACGGATTCTCGGAGAATAGTCGTATTTTGGGAGAGAAAAGATAACTCTGCTAATAATAAGTCCTCCCCTGTGGATTTCCAATTTACTAAAATAAATAATACGTGAAAAGTTAATTAAAACAATCATGAGTTTACAAACTATTTAAGAAAAAGTACCTTCTTTCTCAGTCACGGAATAAATATTTGAGACTAATTGAAATCGTGGAATAAAATAAACTCAAATATAAAATTTTATTAATACTGAAAAAAACGATTTTGCTAAAATAAATTTAGCTATACGGGAAGATTTTGTTAAAGTATATCTAAAAATTTAAATACAAATCTGAAAATAATTTTGTTAAATTATCAAAATAATTGTGTAGGAAATTCGATATGCTGAGCAATGCTGGAAACAGTTAACAATTAATTTAATTGTTCTAAGAACCAATTTAAAAGTCCTACATAATTACTTTGAAGTCCAAAAAAGTCTATTCAAATTTGTGTGTAATTAAATTTTTAAATACTTCAGCAAAACCTTTTTTTCTACATACTTTTGTTAGCATCAATCTTTTTTTTTAAATATTCGCAATCTCTCGTATTCCGTGATTATCAAAACAGGTAACATCACGCAGGCTAATTGTCTAACCAAACGTATTTACATAATTGCTGCAATATTCAGAGGCGGTAAACTGTTCCATCAACATTATATATTTAAATAAACTCGCATATAATTCGCTTTCCTGGCACTTGCTAAATTCTATCCATTTAGTTTCCATGCCATGTGCAATCTAAAGTGTTCACGAGTGAAATAATATGAACAATTCCATTCAATAATTATTGCATAAATAACAAAACATGAACTTAGGGGAAGCTCATAGCAATCTACACAATTTTTTCGCAGTCATTAAATAAAATCTAATGTTTGATTTTAATGTTGATTTTATTCTCACGGGTTTATTCTTAAATGAACAGCTTGTCTCTGGATAATTCTAAGAGAAATTATTTTCAATTATAGATATTCAATTACGATCAATTCCCGCAATAACATCGCGTTAAAAAATTCATAAACCAGCTGGTATAAATAATTAGCTCTAGGGTAAGTTCCCGGGATAATCGATCTCTTACCAAAGTTTCACGATACACATCTAACAACATGAACTATGTATAAGTTATGATTATATATCTCAAGGGTTCCTGCCCTAAGATATTATACGAGGTATCGTATAAATATCCATCCTTCATCATTACCGTCATCCCAGGCTTATTCCCGTGCCAATTAAGGAAGTAATCCACAGGCGATAAAGTTTCAAATATCTTGCGGAGGAGTCGCGCTTATCTCCTCGCGTAAGTCCGCGATGTCGCGGGATATTCAAAAGCTACGGGATTCAAGATGGGATTGTCTCGACAATCGGTGTGACAAACACGACGTGGCCGGCGAGTAAATTAGCAAGATCTCACCTACCGTAGAATTGTCGGCCACGGGGCGCTGTTGACTCCAAGGGTTTGTTAACACGGCCGCATTCACGGTCCGACTGTAATCTACTCGCTGACACACCACCCCGTGACGTACTACCACTACTGCCTACCGCTCCTCGTCGACCCTCGCTGGTTGCACACGCACCGCTTCGTGGTGTCGATTCCCCGGTGTAACGACCCCGCGATCTCCCCGCTGCACCTATATACGGCAGTCACCCTTATTACACGTCGCTCCTATATACGAGTATACGATCGCTTCATCTCGATCATTCCGCACGATCGTTCAACCGCTTTAGGATGTAACTAGAGCTCGCTTCGGGATCGCGCGATCGATCGCGACGCGAGATGTCGAAGATCCCAGAGTAAGAGATATTAAATGAGCATCGATAGATCTTTGCAATCGCGACGATCTTACCAAGTTTAGGACGACGAGGAACAAATCCAGCCGCGACGGTGGTCAGAGCGACACTACGAGCCTCGCGAAAGACCCGGCGCCCCCTCTCACCATCGACCCGGGGTTTGCCCGACCAATCGACGCGTGCACCTTCCTATCGCTTAAGTACATTCCGCTGGATCCGGGCAAGTGGCGAGGGGTGGCTCAACTCGCACCGGGGGTGGTAGACCGTGGAGCGAACGTCGGAGACGGCGACGGTGGTGGAGGAGTCGTTTCACGTGTTGCTTCGACGTAAACACTGACAGATAATTTAATGATGCCAGCCAGCGGACCGTGCGACGTACCTCGGAGAAAAATTGATTGAGTAATCGACAAGGCGAAGCTATCTCGAAGAGTCGACTGACTCCCGGCATATAGCTTGAAAAAAGTCGAAGCAACGCTTCTGTATTATCTTATTGCAACGTTAACTTTTTTTAGTCTTGACGATACGACGCATGTGTCTTGAACTGAAAGTTTTTAATTATGCAGAAATATATGAAATTTCTATGTAAGATTTATTTTAACTCTATTTTTAAAACGCAAATTGTTTCAAATTGAAAAGTCGACTCGGCGGAGTTGAGCACCGTCATATAGAGATATCTTTTACATTATGTAATACGATGTTCTGTAATGCGCTGTTTTCCCGGTACACGTTACATTATTACGTAGTAAGCGGATAATATTGTAATGGTGTTATTGTGTATTGTAATACGATACTCTTCTGCCACATGTTACGATAATAAGCTCGATTTAAAATGCTCGAAAAATAAACCGCAGCAAGGTGAAGAAAAGTTTTATTATCACCTTGCGTCGAGAAAATTTATCATCATGTAAGAAGCGACATGCTTACTCAAGAATAATATTTAAAAATGTCAGTTCTTGTACAGACGTTCTATCATTTTACTTAAGCTATTATTTAGCTTGGACAATTGTTGTATTCGTTACTATAACTCGAGTATTTTGTTGATTCTATTAATTAAGTTTTACAAAATACTAATTAAATCAACGAGAGGCTCGAGTTTAATAATGAATAATCGCCTCAAGAAATACAACAATTTATAATAAGCTGCATATCTATTCAATTTTATTCACAGAAATTTACAAGTACGACTATTGTAAATTTTAAATTAAGATAATTTAATTATTATTGTTATCTGTATAAGAATTCGAAAATTATTTAAAATATTTATCCATTTAATAAAAAAGACAGAAGAAAGACGTTAAGTCGAGAACGTTTACAGTCACCTTTGATAAAAAATATATTTTAAGCTTTAAATGAAAATCGAACGTGGTTTACAGTTACTTTTGATAAAAATATATTTTAAGCTTTAAATGAAAATCGAAGACGTTTAGAAAAATAATGATAAAAAGTCTGAGTTTCCGCACACAACCACTTATCAGCTCTTATTATTCGAAAATTTAAAAGAATTATTTTAAATATAATATAAAAAATAAAATTTTTTCTTTCTTACTCTGTTCATTTTAAGTTCATGTCTACTCCTTTTTTTATTAGATATTTTATATCAGTTATTTTGACAGACATTTTGATGACATTTTTCATGTCGACTTATAGGAAAAACGACAGCTCGAAGGTGCAACCGCACGTGGAATAGAAAATGAAGAAAAGGAACGTTTCAGAAATTGGAGATCGTGGACGATGAAAGATGTGAGAATCTTTATACATTTTACTGACGCGAAATATATTATCGTCAATTTTCAAAGTGCGACTGCATACAGTAGATCTGAATAGGACACGGTATTAAATTTTCGACCGAAGATCGTTATAGATGAAAAATTATGAAATCGGAACGAGCTTGCGGTAATTTATTTTTATATCGCACAAAGCTTTGCACATTTATATCTACATGACATGAAATTTTATTCTACAGTTAATGAAAGAGAAAGAAAGATGGGAAACAAATCTAAAAATTCGTATTCAATGTAACAGGAATAATGTTTATTATTTTTTTATTTCTCAAATGTGCGACAGATGATAAAAAGCGATGGATTCTTGCATAACGCTGAATTTATATCTGCAGGCAAAGTTATAGATTGAAAGAAAAGTCGTAGTAGAGACGAAGTGCAAAGAGCTCGTTGCTTATTTACACAATTCTCTAAAGCGACCCGACAAGTGCTTTCGCCGTAGCGACGGAATTCCGTGTATATGCAATATTTGTCGCTGACAATGTAGCGCGTGGAGGCAATCGAAACTTTATGCGATTGTTAAACGACGATGGCATCGCTGCGTCGAGTAGAAGCAATTCAACTGCAAACGGAGCGCTTAAAAGGGGAAACGATATCGCTAGGTAGATTTGCAAGGCTTAAGCGTATTATAAGTCTGAGATCCTCGACTCGCGCGAGATATAGTCATTTATTGCATCTCATCGCGATTATCTCTAACGCGCATTACAAGACAACGATTTTCAGCAGCTTTACTCGAAGAGGCTTCTAATAACTTGTATATGATATTACACAATATTATACGAAACACTTGGAAAGAAACACGCAGAATTAGATACTTTTTTCCCATATTGAAAATCAAATTAAGAGATTACTCAACACGAGGTTGCTTACCTAATCTGTAAGAAAGTAAACCTCATAAATATGTAACGATACCTTCGAGGGATTTTATCGAGAAGAGCTATATACCTTCACAAATCTAATTATCATAATATTGAACATTTAATATTGAACATTCCAAAATCACTCATGTTACTATTTATGATCGGACTACCATTTTTCTTTAATTTATCTAAAAAATATGAAATATGCTGTTAAGGGCGGCATGTAGGCGGAATATTATATTTTTCTTTAATTTAACAAATAACAAGGCTGAAACGCGTACGAAATCGTGTCGTAAACAAATTTTTCGTCCGAAAATTATGTTCGCCCTGCGAGACGGCTCATAAAGTAATATTAGAGCTACTTATTACCCGACATTTCTCTTCCACGTCGCGACGCTACCGAGACGCAGGTTTCTTGCGCGTCGCACGAACGACGTGGCGAGTGCTGGTTGGAAAAGTTATGGGCCCCCCTCGTGCAATTTATATCTCGGAGATAATTCTCTCAATATATATACACACATATATATATATATCAAAGTTCGTCCGCGAATACTTGTTTATAGAATCGTTGACAGGACGCGCGTCATCCCGGAGTTTACTTTCCGCATGAAATATTTCTTCCCTCGTGAAGTTCGACAGATTTCGTTATTTATTTCTTATTTTTACCTCACACGAAGGGCGGATCGATAACGATAGGATAACGCGACGAAATGGATTATATATTCTCTATAGTGCAAAACCCGGTGACGTTAAACTCCTGCGCTCTTCTATGTCGACTGCATGCGAAGGGGTGTCACCGGTATTTGTAAATCGTTGTTGACATCCTCTGTGCAAATATCGAAATTTGATATTTCGGAGATGACGGATACAATTCGCGTACTCGCCGCATAAATCGGTATCGCATTATACACGCCACTTGACAGACTTATATGTCTGTGTGATTTGACTCTCTGAAAAGAATATCTTTACAATTTATAAATGTAATTTGTATTTAAACGGTAGTCTATGTAATAGCTTCAGAGAGTTTTAGCGAACAAAAGCCTTCTTTCAATGTCTATTGCAGATATTTCTGAAAAGAAATAATTCCAAAGGACGTAATATCGTGAAATCGCTTGATTATTTATCAAATAGACCATAGCAATTTACAAATCTATGTAACGGAAGCTAAATGTTGATAAAATAATAGATTTGAAAATTTTATACTTTTATATCTATAGAATAAAATATAAAATAAATTATTATCAGTGTTGGGAAAGTTACATAATAAGATACATAATAAGTTACCTTTTATTATAAAAATTGAGTATAATAAGTTTGGATATTTTATTTTTTATGTTATATTTTATCACATTTGCTCCAATTTTGTATTACCTTTTGTCCCTTTCCCAACTCTAGTTATTTTACAAAAAATAAAGTGCATTGAAATTGAGGCGTTCTAAAAATATCTCGATCAGTATCGTTTCTGTCCACTCTATATAATAGACGTACCAAGTCATTTCATATTTGCTTTGCCTTTAGTTTCTTTTTCCTTCGAACATCGACTGAATGCTTGCTGATATATCAAAAGAGGTTCATTCGCCGGTAAAAGTCATAACAGCCGCTGTCTGGGAAACCTGAAATCGATTCCCCTGCGGGTATTCACCCCTGCAATGTGCAGGTGCAATATAGACTGTGATGAATATACCGCTTGAAATTATTTTGAATGTTATATCTCAAAGAAAAAATTCTTTCTACTTCTTTTAACGCGTAATAACGGAGAAAAATGAGTATGCTGAAATATTGACAGTTGTGTATAGTTAATATTGACTCACGCCGTTAAACTGCCATAAATATTCAAGATATATTTTTCATAAATTCTTATAGTGCACGTACTCATAAAGAGTTCTATAAAAAAGAATTTAATTTACGGATTAATGTTCTGTATTAATTCGTTGCCTGTAAAGATAAAAGTTTAATACATTGTTTATTCGTTTCAAAGTTTTCCTATTCTGTAAATTACGTACAGTTATAAATACGCATTGCAACATTACATAATGAAGTAAATCTTTGAAAGAACCGTTTGATAAAGAAGATTATAAGAAACTTAGTCGTTCGGAAACTTACATATTACAATAAATCATTCGAAAATCTTTTCTTCTTTTCATCTAACAGCCATTACGTAACAAATGATTAAGATGCATTAAGAGTAATTTTGTAACGGAATAAACGAAGTTGTTTTGATCAATCTACATTGCTGGTAAACAAGATATGATCGTTATTAAAATTGGAGCTAATAATAAGTTAAAAATAATGTACATACAATAAGCAGTATAATAACGTAAAAAAAAATAATTTTCCTAAAGTATCTAAAAATTTTGGATATAGATCTAAAAATAATTTTATTACATTTTATTAGATTATAAAAATAATTACGTAGGAAACTCAAGCATGAACAATGCAAAATATTTTGACATTCTAGTAAATAGTTTGAGCGTCCCACGTTATTATTTTATGTGTGTGTGTGTGTGTGTGTGTGTGTGTGTTTTAATCCAATAAAATTATTTTTAAATCTATAACTAAATTTCTAGATACTTCAGCTTTCTGTCTAAACATACCACAATTTTATTTAATGCGTTGAACGATGATATATATATTTGCTAGGTACTACGACGTGAACAAGACGTTAGATCAATCAGAACTTTGCTTTGTTAGTTTTGATTGTTAAATCGTCGCGGTACGACATCGCTAAGTGTTTTGTGTATGTGTGTGTGTGTGTGTGTGTGTGTGTGTGTATGTGTGAGTGACCAATTCAGTATGACCACAACTGTCCGGATATAGTAAAGTGGCGAAACGCTGTCCCAGGTGGACATGTACATCCATTATAAAGTTTGGTAAATCCGCTTTCAAACAAACTTGAGCTATTTTCCTATTTAATCATCCAAAATCGGAAAATAGAAACGTTAACGTTAGAATCGCCAGCGGTGACTCGTACTCTGAAATATATTTCGCGAATCAAATATATTTCAAAAAACATCTCTCTACAATATTGAAAATCGTTGGCGGTTGCAAATAGCAAAAAAGACATAAAGAGAGACTCTTTATGATTCTTACTAACACATGAGAAAAGTGCTTCTAGTCATTCTAGGGTATGCTTATAAAGAAAAAAAGGGAGTGAGGGATAAAATTTTCACGAAAAGGTTCTTAGAATAATGATAAGAGAGAGAAATTCCCATTATTACTAATTTATATTATCTTTGTAGCTAATAGCTTTGAAATATATACGTATAATCTAGAAAAAAATTTACTCGAGATAATATTGAGTAGTTGAATAAAACTGGGCGATATAATATATTTTATCACATATTTTATCATATTGCTTCTTTTCAAGTTAGATGTCACTAGCTTGCACTCCTATAAAAAGCGTCAAGATATTATATGCCATCAATATATATGTATATTAAATTAAAAAAAGTGCAACATAAAATTTTAAAAGCCAAATTTACATTTTACTAATAATCACGTTTTTTAAATAATTAAATAAGCAGCGAATTTATTATTGCTTCTGCTTTTTTTTTATTATAGATAAAAGAATCAATTCCGAATAATTATATAGAGAAATATTTATGAGAACTATATTTAAAGAATCAAATGCTATTGAATGATATCATACGTATCGAATCCCGGAAATTCCGTCGCAAGTTTCAGGAACCTCGGAACACCTCTATCGATCACGCAGATATTTGTGCTTTTATTTAACGTTCACAACAAAACGCGTCATCTCCCTCGCGATAACAACAATTGGCGACGATTATCAAAGGGTTAAGGTTGTCAACGCGATAGAATGGTATTTCCCTGCGGTGTTCGCCTCTAAGATTAATTACATACTACATAACGGATGATGAAGGGAAGGACATGCATTCAGATGTCTTTCATCTCAGATGATGTTTCAGGTTCAGCCCAACGGCGATCATAAGCGTCCCGCACGCAATGGCTTTGACGTCGAGTGGGTCGTGGTGTGGAGACAAATGCTTTCGCCGGTTACGAATATTGATTTTCGACTTTCGAGGTTTCTGGAGCAAGCTCGACGCAGCTGTGACGCAGGCGTCGACGCCGACGCCGACGCCGACGCCGACGCCGACGCCGACGCAGCATGGCGGAGCCAGCCGCCGTTTGCTGGCTGGATCATCAGGCATCATCTGGTTGATTTTTCGCAACTGTCGCGTAAGACTCGCGTGTGAATCGCGCGAAAGCAATCTCGAAGATGTGAGTCGTCCACTTATCGTCGGATCGTCGTTACGATTAGTTTAGTCTCGCGACGAGGCCAGACCCCTTCGAGATGAACGTGAATGTGCACGTCCTTATCACGTGCTTCCTGCTTGTCACATTAATGGCTCTTACGGACGGTAAGTGTGGAAGATTTCGAATAAAAATGTAATTGTGCGGTATACTATCACGATCAGTGGATGTAGTCAAGTAGTCCTGGCGGAGTATAACGCCGAGGCACTTTTTTTGGAAGCTTGGCGGCGCCACGGTACTTTCTACATATAATCATTTAAAACTAATTTTATATGTTTATGTAACAGGGCGGTAAGAAGGAAAAGAAACATTTAAATATTTAGCAAAATCTGAATTTCGATATGGCAATAGCGTAATTAAAGCATCCAAGTTTGTTCCCTCCTTTTAAAGATATCGAAAAGATACGAAAAAGATATGAGATTCTGAAAAGATATTTGGGAAGAACTATTGTTCAATTCTTTTGATGTAAACGTGAAACAGAACAATGAAATTTTTTAACACTAGAATTGCCTTAAAAGCATCTTTGTTTTAAATACTTTTATTTCAATAAATTTATCTTTGATGATTCACGAGCGCAAAAAAATAAGATGAATTAAAAGCGAAAGAAAGTTATAAATTATCTGTAGAATATAATCTATAATTTTTCTCTTTTTTCTTTTTTAAGTTTTCTCAATATATGTTTCTAAAAGTTATATTTTTGGAACGCAGGAATATGATTCAATGATAAATTTGCCACATTTTAGAATGAGCTATTTATATTAAAAAGTTGGCCAAAGGTCAGTTTCTCAAAGTTTCATATAAATTGTTTCATATAAATGATGACTATCTGAAACAGTTGAATATCTGCAAAATAATGAGTGATTTGTTTTTCTGCATACTGTTGCAATATTATGTTCATTCTAATTATTAAAATATTTGTATATAAATGATTTTAATTAAAATTAATTAATTATAATAATTTTTATGTATCTTTTTCTGTTTTGCTTTATGATAAACTTATATGAAATCTTTATGACAAACATATATGTATATAATTAGCACATTAGATTAAAAGTAGTAAAAAAGTAGAAAAAAAGTAGTAAAAAATAATTTTTGTTAATTTTTTTATACAAGTGTCCTACTTTCTATGCGTTTGAACTTTTGATATAATCGGTTTGTATCGATTATGTATGCATGTGTATGTACGTAATGGCTTTTATAATAAAACAGGACAGCTAATGTCAAAAGAGCATCGGACCCACGCGGCTTCTGAAAGAGCCAACGACTTATGGTGTTATCAGTGCTTCACTATGGATCACGGTGAGAAATGTATCACTGGCAATGGTGGCAATTTCAGTGAATACGAGCACAAATGCATGGACGACAGAAGAATCTGCATGGTAAGACGAGATAGGTTTGTACCTTTCGTTCTTACACTCGATTAGCGTCAAATGCAACAATCCTTCTATATTAAGATTTGCATCATAATTTCTCATACAAACACATACACACACCAAACGTTTTATACAGAATACAATATTATGTAGAAACGTGATTGATGTGATTGACCTACTTTCAGAGGAAAATTGGAATAGTTATCAGTTGTTCCGAGTTAGTTGAAGCGAGATTTTAACAAACGGGTCCGTGATGAATTCTCGTGCGCATTTAATACGAACTTGTTATGATAATTTAAATTGTTGTTTATCTGAGAAAATTAATATATAATTGAACATACATACAAGCATCACGTTCATGAGCAAGCGTTTATTTGTGCGGTTAAATTATTACATGCATGAGATACGTCGTACCGCTGTTTATTTATCGGTACAGCAATTGTCGAAATGCCAGTGATATAGAAAAGATTTCATTCATAATTTCTGATATAACGAAGGAATAATATGAGAAAATACTGTACAATTCCTCTAAAAATTTTTAATTTTTAATAGAAATATGTGTTCAAAATAACTTAAAAAATCATAAATGATCTTTATACTTATTAATGTTTTCGATATTATTCACGTACGCGTTAAAAACAATCATTAAGTTTTTAAAAAAGTAATTGTTTAATCACTTTCACAATATTCTATTTTTTAGAAAAGACTCATATCACACATGTCTACAAAATATACAAAGTATATATATATATATATATATATAGAATCCGAGCTATTGGTTTTCCTTTGTGACATAGATCCTCGTATAAAATCCCACTGTTAAATTTTCCTACGCAGAAACATCGTTATGAAAGCTTTCAATAGCGTATATAAAGTCACTCATCCAGAATAAATGATTACATAATGATAAAGCGAACAAGTTTCTTTTCCATTGTAATTATGACTATATCATCTGATTTACAATGTAATTATGACAATCTCATCTAATGTTTCCGCGTAAATCTCATATGAGAGCTCCACAGAGGGACGCTCGGTAAACTGCACACTTAATAAAATTGAAACACAATATGAGCTCATGCGTTGCAGGTAAGGCGATTTTCCTACACCACCAGCACTGAGAACTCGACTTCCAGTCCGAAGACGTGGTCCCTCCAGAGAAATTGCACGAACAAATGCGAGCCCGGATGCATCGTGATCGGCGAACGCACCAAGCTCTATGCCTGTACCGCCTGTTGCGAGACTAATCTATGCAACAACGGCACCGGCACTGCCAACGACCTAACGATCAAAGAAATTGATCTCCTGCTAGCTCTCTTGCTCCAAGCTGTCTTGACTGTTATCATGTATCCGTCCTGACAGTGTCAATAAATAATCACAGTAATCCCCCCACAACAATACACTCTTATGGTCCACGGGTGCGGGCGTCCGATGGCGCTTTGTTTTGTCTGCGTTTTTGGAAAGATACAGTATATCAAGATCAGTATATCTCGTGAAAATCTTTGGGTTTTCTATAAGCTATTTATTATCTAAGTTTTAAGTTTTAAACAATTGACCAATCATAGTCGAATGTGAGAAGAATGATTAACTATGATTAATCAATTTTTTACGGTTTAAGATTTAAAGCTTAGATAATGATTTATTGTAAAAAGCCAATAACATTTCGCTGAGCGGATGCGTAAAATTGTTTTATATATACATATAATGTAGAATATAAATTGTATTTGTTATAATATGGAAAAATCTTCCTTTATGACTTTCTCAAAAGTTTATAAATTTATATATTAAAATATATATAAAAATGATTAGAGCAAGACAAGTTCGTAGCGCTATGAGTTTCAAAATTCATGCAGCTGTAATTTTGTTGAAAATGAACGAAATTTAAATTTTAAAAAATGTTTTAAAGCTTCAAAGCTCTATTTTCAAAAGATCTCTTTGTCTTTCGAATTTTTGTGAGTTTATGTTAGTAATTTTTGAATAGAATATTACAAGCTGAATAAAATGAGAAACTATCAAGCAATACAATAGCTTTTTGAAAGCATTTTTATTCATCGTTATCAACAGCATTAACGTATTTTCGAATCTTTTGAGTTGACGAAGCGCAAAATCACTTAGCTCTCAAAATTAATATTAATACAATATTAATAATATAATTCTTTTAACGCGGTTGTAGCTGATTGTCCAAATTGGAACAATGTTGGAGTGAAAATTATGAACCAAAAGCAAGATTGATTTACGAGAAACTGATTGTTCTACGCTGCTTTTACAATTGTTTTATCTATTTCAAGTATAGTAAATATTTAATGGCATTTTCCTTTTGTTGGCCAAATTGAAATTTTGTATCTGATTCCGAGAATAATTTAAATTCAAACGCGCTACTGTGAAGGATTGGAACAAAATGGAGGACGATCGCTTATTTAAATTTACCGACCGTGAATTGTTTGAGACTCTGGCGTCATCTAGCATCGATATTCTACATGTTGAAGCTGAAGTTACAATAGTATCGACCGCATGTAACTTAGCAAAGTTAAAATTAAAAATCTAAATATAATTTTTTGTAGTTACATAAATGGAAAAAACAATGAAAAAAAGAAATGAGAAAAGAAACATACGTGATTAATTATTAAAAAAAAATTTTATGGAGCAAAAATAACATCTTACATAACATAGCCGACAGATCGTCAGCTATCGATTATTAATTACTATGTCAATTGTCAATTGTATATTACTACTTCATATAACACAAAATAAAATTAATTATTACCATTTAATTATTGCATTTATACCTTCCAATATATATGTATATATATTTACGCTTTCCATGTTCATAATACATTTATTTATGTGGTATAAATCTACATTACAGATATTTTCAACTCAGTTCCAGCAAAAATAAATGCACTTTTCACGCGCAAATATGATAAATCGCATAAACCTAATCTCATGCCTGATTAGCGGTAACTTCGCTCGAACAGTTAATTTCGTAAGGCTCTGTCTCGCGACTTGCAATTCTTTCGAGAGGATCGCGATTCAAGTCGACGGTCTCTTCGCCGCTACCATCAACAATAGTTGCGTTACACCACTCCAGTTGTATCACCCTACCTTTTTCTCGTCCTTGTCCCCCTTCCACGGCGTTCACCTTCACGTATTCGCGGAGATCTCCGCTATTTCGCAGCTGTACCGGTATCCTCGCCGCGTCCGCGAAGGATCAAGATGGGGATTAAACGTACGACGCCAAGAGGAAACTCTTTGCATGTTCAGCACGCACACGTCGACATGATTGACGCGCGTTCGAGACAGATGCATGCTGTGTCACATAAATATACGAAAAATCCTTTGTGTCTCGCGATTAATTGGTCGTAAAATCGATGGTCAACTGTGCCGCGCTGTACTACGTCGCGGATATTCTACACTTTGCAAACAATTCGCACGAGAAACCTGTGACAAAGTATGTAGCAATTATGCCTAACTGACATTGTGATTTAAATAATATTTATTTCAGATCTGGATCATATAATCCACACAATCTATATACCAGAATAACTATTTTTAAATTATTCATTAAAAAATCCTTGTGATTTATTTATGATTTTATTTCATTTTTTTATATTTTCATCACAAATCTGATAGTCTAATAAATTTTTATTAAAAATTTAGTAAAGTATGTATTATATACAACACTATTTTAATATCATTTTTATGCAATGTTATTATATATTTTAAATTTTTATTAAAAATCTATTAAACAATTATAAATGCAAAATTAAATTGATAAAAATTAATTAAATAATAGAAAAAAATCCAATTTTCGTCGCAGATCTCGGTGCTTTAATTTATATACGTATATTTATAAATTTATAAATTTTCCATTATTCTGTTAACGATTATGTAATTTGTGTTATTTATTTCCAACTTCAGTTTATGAATGCATTTCAAATCCGATCCGACAACTGAATTAGCGCAGTTTAAACAACTGAAAATGTATTTGTAAATTTACCTACATATATATGTAAATATTAAGCACCAAGATCCATTTTCAATGAAAATAGGATTCTCTTATTCAATTTAAATCTAATAAAGCTACATAAAACTGATACTAAATTAAGCGTAATATTTTAAATATATGAATTAATACATATAATGGCTTCTCATAAATTCAATAGAAGTATCTTATTACAAAGAAATATCTTATTATTTTTAAAGAGGTTCTTCAGCTCTTTTTAAAAAGGAGGGGAATCACGTAACTTTCCTTATCTTAAACACGAGAGCATAAAGGAGCAAAATGCCATTGTTATCTTCTAAAAAATAAATAATGAATGAAATTTAATTTTTTTTAATAACAGAAATGAATATTTATGGAAAATATTGAAGAAAAATTGTTTATAGTAATTATTTAATTTAAATATTGATATTCTGGTGGAAACGACGTTGCTATATTTTTACTAGTGTGTCATCATTTAAAGAAAATTAATGAACATGTCATACTCTTACACAAAAATGATACGGTGAAACTTCATTTTTTTTATTTTAAAATGTTCTTTAAATTTCATTCTTTTATATCCATATAACTCATCAAAATTTATATATTTTGTTTACAATTAAATCTTTTTTCTTATAAAGATTTAAGCTATTTTAGAAAATTATTAAAGAAAACTGTACGGTCAAAAAATCCGAAAAATTCAGGAATGCTTACTCGCAAAAAAATATTTTGCTGCTTCAGCTAGAATTGTCATTGTTTTTCGTATGTGGTAGAAAATTCATACGCATAGAATTCATAGCACAATATTTTAACAATATATGCAAGAAAATTTAGGTTTCATAAATACGAATCACAATCATTATAGAGAAGAGCATTCTAGCGAGACTGTCTGAATAAATTCGATAATAGTTTGGATATAAATTCTATCTCTGTTATCTATATTGATTAGATATAAAACATATTCAATATCGCAGTGTTTGCTAGTTACTTACTTATTTTAATTCATTTTTCGTATTTATAGATAATTTTCCACTGAGCAAGCTCATTTCTTTCAGCGTGCACATTAATTATTAATTTAATTACAAATTTATTTTCAATATTTGATTAAATTCTTATATTATATGAAAAGACTGAATTGAATTTTCACGTCCCTGAATTTTCAAGAAATGAAAAGTTCAGCAACATAATCAGGCAACACTTCCCTTCCTCTCTGTATCAATTATATTTTTATAACAATGCATTACGCAACGCGTCGATTGAAAGATTTTCAGACTCTCGTTTCCGCAAGATTCATCGGTTTTACTGGAAATAGTGGTCATGTTGTGAAAATTGACCGCATGTATTGTCCGTGGCTTGCAGCCACGATAATTGTCTGTGTTGGAACCTGTCTACTACCATCGCGCGATAAACGTTCATATGTCTGGCGTGGCTGCGTCATCCAGAGAAATGAAAGAAAAATCACGGCGGCGATACTGCGCCAGCAAGACATCGTCAGTCCCCGATTGTTTCCGACTTGTCAAATGCTGGGAAGACACGTCCGTGATCGTCGCACTCCGGAGTCTCCGGATACGGTCGGTCAGTGCGAGGACGTGAGGCATCGGGTGTGCCAGCATGCACGTGCCATCGTCCATTACGATTCTTCTGCTACATTTGGTCTCGATCACGGCCCGTCCGAGTCATCCGGAGGTCGTGCATCGATCAAACGCGTCGAAGAAATGCTGCTTCGCCGGTTACGCGTTCAACGAAAACCTGGAGTGTATCCACGAGGAATCGGACAAGTTCAACTACACTACGCACGATGCTTGGCGAACAATCGCCCAACATCCGCAGCAGATTACCACATTGATCACGTCCGTGCAGGGCTTGAACTGCCGCGATAACGAGGAGGATGACTCCAATTCGCAATATCATCCATACCTCCCTCGCATTTATTCCATCTTTCGCGCGCCGAGGGACTATTGTATCGAAAACATGATCAACGGTACGACGGTGCTGATCAAATGCGCGGAGACCGGAGTCTCAGAAGTGACTCGGGACAAAGAGAATTCGACAGAGACGACAGTGGTAATGAAAACTACGACAACGACGACAACGATGATGACGACGATCATTACCGTGACGACCATCACCACCATCACCACTGTCAGCATGACGAATGTATCGTCAAAGGAGAATGAAACGCAGATTGTTCATCACTGCAGCGATCTGAGGAATGTATTCTTCTGGGGCACTCAGACTTACATGGACACCAACGTGGCCCACGTTGTCCTCACCATCATCGTCGTCGTGGTATACCTGTCCGTTCCGCAACTCGCCAGGAGCATCTACAATCGCGCGGTGCTCCGCCACAACGTCTGCCTGCTGCTGCAGGGGTCCTTGCTGACGTTTCTCGGCTACTGTAACTTGTGTGGCATCTCGATGAGCGACAACTTGGAAACATTCTTGTGGGTACTAATGCAGTACTTTACGAACGCCACGGTATTCTGGTTGAATGTGATCTGCTTCGACATGGCACTGTCCATTACGCGGTTTCGCTGGATGATAAGCTCGGGTAAGCAGACGAATCAAGAGGAGAACAGGCGACTCCGGCTGTACGGAGTTTTCGCGTGGGGCGGCGCCTTCCTACCCGCCGTCGTCGCTATCATCTTAGAATTTTGCCCTGGCATCCCGGAGGACCTCCCGTTTAAGCCGAATTACCGCCGTTATCATGACGGGCCGAATTACGTGGTGAACTTATATTTCTTCGGCCTACCCATGCTGACGCTCCTCCTGAACAATGTGCTATTTGTGTTCACCACGTACAAGATTATACGAATACAACAAAGCACAGAGATAGCGACGAGGAATCAGTCCAATGTTCTTAGGAAAAAGTACTTTCTCTTCTTGCAGCTGTATTTGCTGATGGGCGCACCATGGTTTTTCGGCTTGCTCTTCGCTTGCATGAACAAGCTCGTGGTGATGAAGATATGCCGGCTAATATGGCCGATTCTGTGGCTTTTGATGTTCGCTACCCACAAGAAACAACGACGGAAACTCGTCAACTTGTTGACGTTGCGATGCGTCAAGAAGAAGCCTGAGATTATCGCAATCTCGTAGAAGCAAACCAATGACTTTGCGCGATTTAGAATTAACTTGGACCATCGATAAAATACATGCGTGATGGATCAAGTTCTTATCAACCGCAACCGCAGCGTGGAAAATCATGGGATATTCCTTCTATTGTCATACAACGGTTACGTAATCGCGCGGCGACGATAGTTCCTCCTGCTAGTTCGCGCAAATTGTGCGCTCGCGGGCATTTGCATTATTTTCTTGCGCAACCCACAGAAAACCCCCATCTCGAGGAAAAGAAGAAATAAAAAAAAATCAACAATGTTGCTGCCGCCGCAATATCCGATGCCGCGAACTGAGCGATGAGTCGCAGAAAAACTCGGGTACGTGGCGTCGTCGCGCGGTAGGATAATAAAGGAGTCGTGGCGCGACGTCGTTTCCTGCCGGGGCATTTTAATTACCGTATTCGCGACGCGCCATCACTCGCCCCCGCACGCTCGTATTATCTTTTTTGTTTTACAACGTGTAGAATATTAACCTGTTAGTGTACAACGCGGAAGATACATCAGCGGCGGGCGCTTTTTGCAGGCGATCTTCCGCACCATGGAAAGACGCAATAAGAACGTGATTCTCTCCTCTTGCGGGAAAACCTCGTCTCCTGTGCTAACAGGTTGAAATATAACTGCAAAATGCTCGGGAGATATTCTTTATTTTCTACCGAATGTCATTTTTGTACCTAGTATTAGGTAGACGGAAAGGTTCTCGTGTAAATATCACAGATGTTACACGGAAAGAATGATTCTGTTAAAGTATCTAAAAATTTTTAGGTAAATACAGATGTATCTAAAAATAATTTTGTTGAAATAATTATGTAGGATGTACTCGAACTGATCGCTACGCACAGAAAAATATTATTTTATTGCTAAGAAAAGTAATTACTCAATTTACTTTCTTATTTTTAACAGTTATCTTTAATACAAAAAATATATTCTTGATACTAATTTTAAAATGGAATACTCATACAAATTTTAAACAAATTCATTACCATGTTACTCAAAACAAGAAATTATTTTCTTTTGAAGAATATAAAAAAATTTATCGAAGAAATGACTTTATAATACATATAAACAAATACAATTTGTTTTGATTTAATAATCTAGATTAAAATATTATTAAACTTATTAAGATTCAGAATATAATTTGAATAAATTTAATACGTAATGAACTTATGATAGATTTATGGAAATATGAAATTTTGAAATATTTGAAAGAAGTAATTATTACTTGCATCGTATAGTATGTATTTTTCTATCTGCAAAATTTTTTACGTTCAAAAACCTACTCATCATGCTTGAGATTCCTGCACTGAGAAAAAATATACTAAATTTTAATAAATATTTATTTGAACAGTACCAACTAAACTTTATTTACAATAATAAATATTTACTCAATAAAAATTAAATAAAATTAATGGCTTGGTATCAAAAAATATATATTTGCATATTTAATAAATATTTAGTCGGTACTTTTCAAGCACAAGATTTATTAAAATTTAATACATTTTTTCAGTGTATGTAATTATTTTGATCGTCCGACAAAATTATTTTCAGATCTGTAGCTGGCTAAATTTTTAGATTTTCAACAAAATCGTTCTTTCCGTATATAAACTTTCAAATATCTAGTCAATTATGGGAAAAGAAAACAAGTCAATTAACAATAAATAGGATTTGCTGGAAGAAATTATCTCAAATCACGATATCTTTTCAATAGCGCAATAACATCGCGCGGAATCAATAAACAACGGCCTACGAGCCTACTTATTAATGACATATTGATTTAATGTTCCATTTCGCAACACGGTAAAAAAATAAAAAGAGACTCATCATAGTTCTCTTGAATCAACCATATAATATCAGAATCAGATTTAAAAATGAATCAGATTTAAATCAAATTTCTAAAAATGCAATAAAGAATAAATGTCGTATCGCGTATGTAATACAGGAGAAATAGAAAGATTGAAATGACACCTAATTTTTCACTCGATTTATTAATTAATAATTAAATATAGTAATTAAAATGTATATAAATACGACTTGTTATAATATTAATTTGCAATATTTTATAAATAGGGCAAACCTTTTGCGAATATTTTTTTAGAGAAAACTGAGAAGCTCTGTTATTTTAGAATGCAGGAACACGATCTGGAAATAAATTTATATGTAAAATTGTAGAGAGATATTCGACTCAGGGAATCTATCAAAACGAAAATATATCCATGACCAGCATTTACGTAACAAAATGTAAACAATTTAAAAATGCGATTAAAACGTAAGTTTGAACTGATAATACTTTTTCTATATACGTCCTCTGCATAAAAAAAATATATACTATAATCTCTCATTCTACAAGTATATATGTGATATAAAGTTATCGATATATTATGTTATTAGTATTTTAATCGCAATTATGTGTATAAAGATATTATTGCATTAAAATTCGTATTAAAATATCTTTTTTGTTAAATCGATTTTTATACTTGTCTCTATTATTAGAATTAACGTTCCATGTATTTTTAACGTATGTATACACACCTATTCATCTTGAGTTTTCCACATAAAGCTGTTAACTGGAAAGGCTTATAGTTAGCTAATCTTCGCAAGTATACATGGACATGACGTGAGTCATCGCCTGGATATCGCTGTCATAGATTGCATCAATATTTATGCCGTGCTGTAGCGTCGCGTGTGTGCAGATTCGTGTATGTTATTTCGCGTTAAAACAAAAGCTAATTTATATGCGTCAAATTTTTTTGTCGGTCAAGTCACTTCTGCATTTTACGGACCTCGTTGCGTCGTGTCGCGCGATTTGCGCATGAACAAATGCAAAAAAATACGAAGTAATAATTTGAAATTTGACATACTGGAGATATTACGCGTGACAAGCATGCTTCGTTAGCGGACTTCCTTGTCAAGAGATATTTCGGTGATCATTATGTCTAACCAGCCTTTTAAAGCCCGAAACGCTTTTCATCCAGCGGATTCACCGCACGGCATGCGAAGTTACGATGTGGGCGCTCTAACGAGAGATCAGAAACAAGCTTTGAACAAAATGAAAATGATGATTCGAAAGGAAAACGAAATTTACTTTAAATCACACCCAGAAATCAGAGGTCTGGTCGGTATTTTATTGAGGTACACTCGCACCTAATATTTTATAATTACATTAGAAAAATATATACACGAAAAAAACAATTTTGCTGAAATATTTAAAAATTTAGTTGTAAACATGAACCTGAAATTAATTTTGTTTGAATCATCAAAATAATTATATAGGATGTTTAAACTGATTGCTAAAATGCTAACACTTTTTGTATCAAAGTTATCAACTTTTAAACGTTTTAAATATTTTAATGATCCAACGAAATGTATGTATCTATGTTCAAATTTACATAGTGCTGCTGATGTAAGTATCTAAAATTTTATTCAGATACAAATCTGAACACAATTTTGTTGGATCATCATAATAATTGTGTAGAATGTTCACGCGTGATGATATGCTGCAAAACGTTTTAACATTTTAACAATTTAATTTAAGCGTCCTATATAATTATTTTAACGGTCCAGCAAAATTATTTTCTGGTCTGTATCTTTTAGATATTTTAGTGAACTATTTTTTTCATGTGTGTATGTATGTATCACAGTGTAGAATTTTTATATTCAATTTGTGTCTCTTCCCTAATAACAATTTTATAAAAAACGCGAAACGCCAATTATAATATTTGATACGTGACGAGAATATTGTTGGAGATTAATGATACGTCATTAAAATCGTTCTCACAGGCACGTCCTATCGAAGCAGCCGCTCATCGATATTCACGAGGTTGTAGGTACATTTTTCAACAGACCACGTCGAGAAATTGTTGCTGACCTTTTGGATTACTTGTCGTCCGCCGATAAACGATCAGACATAACGGACGATCTTCGACGGGAAATATTTCGAACAGCCAGCTTTGAAACTTGCAGTAGCAACGATTCGAACTCACAGTCCTATTCTAGCTCATGCAACTGCATGCAACCGCACGAATGTGATTCAAACAACCAACGTTGTGAAACTCGCAGTAGCGATGATTCGTACTCGCAATCCGATTCTAACTCGTGCAATTGCAACCGCACGGATGTGACTCGCAATTTTCAATAGTAGTCCAAATAGAATCGATTTACTTGATTACATTTATAAATCCGTTCAATTTTTTTTTTAAACCGATATAAATTTTAATAATACGATTAGATATTATATCCATTCGCGCGAACTTTTCATATAGATTTTGAAATCAAATAGTTTGATTTTTGTAACGAGAATATAGGATAAGACTAACATAATGCTACAAATGTTTCGAAACGTTCTTTGATCGGTTAGTTCGTAAAATTCTTTCTTTTGTTTGATCTATCAAATACTTCAAAGCACTTGTAGTGAGACTTTGACCACACCCATAATCTTGGATGATGTGTTATTGAATGCTATATACACACAGAAATAAAATTTTTTTTTATTAAAATATTTAAATATTTAGCTAGATACAGATCTAAAAATAATTTTATCAGATCAAAATAATTATGAGGACATTTAAGCTGATTGCTCGAATATCAAAATTATTTGCAGCATTATACTCATTATATTGTACTTGAACGATCTACGTAATTGTATTGATAGTCCAACAAAATTATTTTTTAATTTATATCTACACAAAAGAGAAAAAAATTGTTAAAACAACTTAAAACTTCACTAATTCAAATGTACAATCATAATATATAGTTAGTATTCAATGTTAAAGTAACGAAATTATGCTGGTTAAAATTAGCGATTATAGGTAATTAGATTTGTTGGGACAGCACAACAAATTATTCAATACAATAAAGATAAAATTTGATGAAAATCAATCCAATCATATATAAATCAAAATTTTTAATAAAATATATTAAGATAACGCATTTTGCTGTAATGAAAAAAACTTGTTATATTAGCATTATTTCCATTGAAACAATTAG